TCTCTCTCTCTCTCTCTCTCTCTCTCTCTCTCTCTCACACACACACACACACACACACACACACACACACACACACACACACACACACACGCACGCACACACACACGAGCGCGGGTTGAGGGTCCAATTGCGTTCAAGCTCTCACCCGCTCAGCTGGAAACGACGAAGCACTTCAGTGACCTGCTGCTTCTCTTCTTTCGACAAGGTCACTCTCAGGGACGGATTCGCATCCCTCCGTTTAATGGCTGCATACACAGTCGCCGGATCCGGTAGCTCCCCAGACTCCCAGTACTTCATTCCAGTGATTCCAATGTCATCGTCCTCCTGCCCGCCTCCTTCTTCCTCTTCTTTCGGTTCCCACCGTGCATCCCTCTCTTTACTCATCCTCCATTCCTCCTTCCCTACTCCCTCTTCCTCCTCCTCCTCTTCCTCCCCTTCGCCCCTGGAATTGGCCACGTCATCGACCGCCTCGTCGTTGCCCTGCTGGCAACACTCCCGATCCCGATCTGCGATTGCTCGATCGTTATCAACTTGCGCCGCCACGTCAGCATCAAGCCAATCTGCCACGTCAGCAGCATCCATGCCCGTACTGAAAGCAATCCTCCCCCTCTCCCACTCTTCTCCATCCTCCTCGTCCAGATTCCCCATCGCTATGGACGCCGTCTGCCGTGGAACGAGCTTCTCACTCAGACACGTGGCGGCGCCAGCGTTAACCCCTTCCCCTTCCCCTTCCGCTTCCGCTTCCGCTTTCGATTGATTACCACCTTTCTTCTTCTTCTTCTTCCTCGTCGTCGTCGTCGTTGCCGCCGTTGCTACCTTCACTACCTTGACCCCCTTCGGGCCGTCGGTGATTCGATCTGATGATGAGCCCTGCTCCTCGAGTTCTTGAGGAGGGGAGGCGACCACGTCAACAGCTGCTTGCTCGGACAACAGTGCCGGCTGCTGCTTTCTCGGTCTGCCACGTGGCCTCTTCGGCTTCGCAGGCGCAGGGGCGATCCCATTTCCCATGGCGGCGGCATTGGCCACGTGGACTTTCTTCGCTTCTTCCATCACTTCTCCATCTATCGCCACGTCGGCCGCGGATCTCGAGGACGACGGCGATGGCTCTGCCACGTCAGCAACAGATATAGATAGCGCCGCCGCCTTCTTCCTCGTTCTCTTTCTCGTGTTAGCTTGCCGACTACTGGTTGCCACGTCAGCAGCAGAGGAGGAGGAGAGCGCGCCGCGACCTCCACGTGGATCGTCGACGATGGCACGTGACTGGACGACAGTGCTGGCAGACGAACCTTCTTGTCCAACTGCCCCTCCTGCTGCCACGTCATCGGCCTCCTGTTGACGGACACGTGGACCTGATGCAGAGCCCGATATACGTCTTAGTAACGCAGGTAAGGCCACGTCAACAGATCGAATCCAAGACAGATCGACGTCCTGGAGCAGCCGTACATCTGTTGACGTCCACAGTGATCTGCGGTTGCAGACTGCCGAGATCAAGGAAGAAGAAGAAGAAGAGGATGGATCGCGACCGTCCGATGAGGCGGGGTAGATCCGACGCCTTGGAAGTGGCGTGAGAGCGGAACAGGAAGAGGAAGAGGAAGAAGAGGAGGAAGAAGAGGAGGAAGAGGAGGAGGAGGAGGAGGATTGGCGAGAAGGTTGGCAAGAGGAGTTGTAAGAGGGATGGGTGTTGCCACGTGGAAGAAGAGGACGGGAATGGCAGAGACGACCGAAGATCCGGGATGTTAAAAAGGATTGAAATTGATCGTACAAGCGACCCTCTCGTACGGATGAGGACCAGATCGATGAGGACAATGAGGAGGAAGAAGGCGATTTGTTACTCACAGAATTATTTCGCTCTCGAGTCGCTCGCCGCACAATCGTTCGCAACATCGCTGTCGACTGACGTGGCGCCATGATTGCCTAGCCGATTATTACTCCCCTCCCCCCCCCCCTCTCTCTCTCTCTCTCTCTCTCTCTCTCTCTCTCTCTCTCTCTCTCTCTCTCTCTCTCTCTCTCACACACACACACACACACACACACACACACACACACACACAAGGAAGGAAAGAGCAGAGCTACGTCTTCCTTTCCTTTCCTTTCCTTTCCTTTCCTAAGCCGCCAGCTTACTCAATTCAAGGTCGGGCGAGCTATTCGCAGTCCGTCCACAACCAACGTCCATGTCCATCGTCATCACTGTCAGAATCGCCATCTCTGGCGACGAAGATGTGCACGCTTGTCGCCCATCAGCATTCTCGATAGTAAACCTCCGATTCCGCAGGAATAGAGGCCAAGTTATCGTCATCATTCCTAACTTTAGAGCTAATTAGTGTGTTAACCTCCCGGGTCATCCTTTCACTCCGCAGTTTATTATCAAAATCGATCATGTACAACTGTCAGCAGTGTTTCAGTGAGACAATGTCGGGTCGGGACGACACCAGCAGCACACGGCATCGGGTAGCACCGAAGTTAACCGGCCACTGCGATCATGCGATCAGACCGGTGGTCACCAGACGGTGCGACGAACCTGGTCACCTACCGCCATAGACAAGTGGACCAGAAGAGGTAATCATCATCATTACCGTACCGCTTGATTGTTTTTTGTTTTTTACACCTATACACCTATAATAAATGTCGTTATCGTTGGGTGCAGACCATAGAAGCCCATTATTTAGTAATCGATTACGTGGAAAATGCTCTTCTCATCAGAAGAAAACCGCGGGTTAGTGGGCCTCGCCGCACTACTCACCAAATGCACAAACGACAAAAACGATGGCGGTGCATCCTTCCATGTTCTGGCAGAAGATTCGTTCTCATTTTGTATACCTTTGGTGAGTAGTGCGGCGAGGTCCAGTATCCATAGTCGTCATCAGAAGAGCAATGTCATCGAGCCACGGCGGCAGCTGCATAGCATGACCGCCAAACACATGACCGAAACTCGGAAATTTTGAAGAAGAAAAAAAAAAAAAGAGTAGAGCACCTATGCCCCCTTTTCCGTTATCACGGTGGCGGTCTTTGGTTATGAAAGCCCAGCCGGCGGAGTAAGGGCCAGATCCCGCTAGCCCCTATTATTCATTTCTGACCGTTGATCTTCGTAATCGAGGGTCAAAAATGAATAATCCAGGGTAGTGGGATCTGATCCGAGCTCAGGTTTGGCCTTGGGAGAAGGGCCCGCTTAGGTCCAGGCACGGTAATAAGGGCGTGCTTCCAGGGGCCAGGTCCCATTAGCAAGAAGGGGTGGACGAAGCACCTGAATCTGGTCACCGTTTTGCACAGATGCAAATAAACAGATCAATGGCTTTTGTGGATCTCTCCACGATCGCGACCAGATTCAGGCGTCGAATTCAAGCCGTTTTGTTTAGTGGGATGTTTCCCCAACCTGTTGGGCGACCCAGTGGGATGCGCCGCCGGTTCAACGGCCAGGTTTGGGATTCGGATTTACGTCCATTCTTTGAGAGTGGTGCTTAACCGGCGATTCCGTTAGGGTCAGATCCCGTCTCTTATACACATCTAGATGTGTATAAGAGACAGTTGCATATCTGGGCATGTAACAGGAACTGTCATCAGAACTTTGAGCAGAACTATCATCCGAAGTGTCATCAAACCTTTCATCAAGATTGTGGAAACAAAGACTTGTA